CCGGTCTTCGCGGCACCTAGAATATCCCGTCCTTTGAGAGCATGGGGTAGTGCCTTGGCCTGAATACTGGTCAATGTTTTAAAATGAGACGCTGAGAGACCATCTAGGGAAGCCTCTGAGAGAGGTAGATCAGAGAATGCCTCAACTGGAGCTTTCACATCCAGCTCGTCGACTCGTTGCTTCAGTGTTGTGAGATCCATCTCTTCTCGTTTTCGTTTTAGGCTTCTGGCATTGTCACGAGCATGTTTGGAATGAGAGCTATTCCGACTATGACGTGAGGGTGCCATTGCTGGAGTAGGGCGCCACACTTTTGCGTCGCGAGCTATATTAAATTTTGTTCTATCCTATGCTGCAGAGAAATTTGAACTGTGATAAGAGTGTTTGGGACCTTTTTTATATTTTTTGATTTTTAATATTTTCATTTTTTTCACTCTGGGCGGAGCTCAAACTAGTTAACTTGTATCTCTGCTTAGTCATCTGCTTGGCATTACTGTATTTGCAGCAGCAGCTCAAGTAAAGAAATGCGCATCAACCTGCAGGGAATAATATCAAACATCACTCTTGAATTAATTTAGTAGGAATCAAGGGATTTTATCGACATGGCTAGCGATGAATTGGATGCACTTGATGCCCTGGACAGAGAGGCGTCGGAATTCACCAAAGTATGAGCAGAAGCTCGTTGCGTTCCCCTCCTAGTTCTGGTTTACTGACAATGAGATTCCTGCAGGATGCGGAAATTGATCGCATTAGAAAAGCATTCCAACTCGATGCGTAAGAGACTTCCAGTTGCAATATTTAAGCGCAAAGCAAAATGTTTCTGCCAGATCATGACGCGTCTAACTCTCATCACACAGTTATGCGGTCCTCGATCTCCAACCAGGTGTCCCAGACTCAGACATTAAGAATCAATATCGCAGGAAATCCCTTCTCATACATCCGGATAAATCCTCAAACCCTGCGGCGCCCGATGCCTTTGATCGTCTAAAGAAGGCACAAACGACTCTGCTAGATGAGAAAGCACGGGCTCACCTCGACGAGTGTATTGCCGATGCACGAAGACTATTAATCAGAGAACACAAATACACGCTTGACTCCCCAGAGCTAAAAACGGAAGAGTTCAAAGTGGAATGGCGGAAGAAGACTGTCGAGGTTCTAGTTGAAGAGGAAGCGAGACGGAGACGGCGGTTAAAGGCGCAAATGCAGGAGGAAGGTAGGGAGAAAAAGAAAGAGGAAGAAGAGATGGAGATGAGGAAACGGAAGAGAGCGGAAGAGAAGGCCTGGGAAGAGTCACGCGAGGAGCGGATTGGGAGCTGGAGGAATTGGCAGAAGGGGAAGTCAGAGAAGGCGGAAGGGGGGAAGAAGAAAAAGATGAAAGTGTTAGGATGATTCATGAATCGCATGCTCTCGAGTGGATAGGTGGGATCCGTGCCTCTTTAAAGAGTTTATCTTTTAACATCTTGCAGGGGTTGGTCGATCAAATGGCGTTACTTTATTCAAATGGCGTTACTTTATTTTAACATTTCAAGTGAACGGAGTTTATGATTGGGAGGATTATTCAGATTCTATCGAATATGCATTAAATAATCTATACAGGCACACACCACCTTGTAGCTCTTTGTTTCAATGAATGTGGCATAACACGACCTACAAATAAATGGCTCCATATCTTATTTACATCACATGTACAGCACCTTCATCCTCGAAATGTGGGCCAGGAAATATACAAGAGTATAAACACATGAATGAATCAGAGGATACCAGCGCGCCGATAAAAGTGTATGAGAAGCCTCCGCCCCAAAACCCCAAAACAAAATGAAAAAAGAAAAAGAAAAAATAAAGAAAGAAAGAAAAGAAAAGAAAAAGAAAAAGAAGAAAAGGCTTTTACATGGACTTCGTGGAGTCATGATCCGCGATCAGTATCATGAAACGTACCCGTCGAATGACATAAACCGGGCGCCAAGGGAAGAGCGAACAGTTACCCCATGGCGATCCTCTTCCTCGCATCGCGGACTGAAATTTCCCAATCCGTGCGAGTCAAGTACACGCCTTCGATGATAGCAACCAGGAGTAACGCAACAGCAACACCTGCCCAAAGCCCCCAGAGGTGCCACCCTAGTCCGAATGCTGTACCCATACTAATTGGCATAGCCACGGCATAGTAACAAAATAGCTGGATATAGCCACCAATCTCCTGACGCCCAAGGCCCCGGAGGATGCCGTTGCAACTAGTTGCGAGGGCGTCAACAAGCTGGAACGAGGCACATAGGGGTAGGATCTGGGCGACCATTGTAGCAACTTCTTCGTCGGACGTAAAAAGGCGGAGGATGCGGCTTCTCAGTAACGAGAGGGCTATAACATTCAACAGACCAACACCAACTGCACCGACCATAGCAATTTTGGCACATGAACGGGCAGCGTTGGTCAATGTTGCACCGATTAGATTGGCGATTCGAGTGCTGATGGCGATGGAGAGAGGGAAAGGGATCTGGAAGGCGATGGCTGATATCGTAGAAAGAATGGATTGAGCAGCAAGCGCAGTGGTGCCGAAGTAGCTCGAAGCGAGCGTTAGGAGCTCAAAAGCAAGAACTTCAGCTTCAACCATAAGGAACCCCGGAAGTGCCAGACGCACCATGGGGCCCCAGTTCTGGAAACCCCGCTTAGTGAAGCCGTTCCAGCACTCCCTCCCAGCAATGAAATAGACGTATAAAAAGAGGAATATTGGGAGGAGGTTATCGGTTATAACAACTGCCAGTGGAGCTCCAACAAAACCTAACCCAAGTTTCTAGCATGACAGGTCAGTATGCTAGAAACGTTTCCATGAAACCGTGACGCCAACACAGAACCACAACAGGAAACACATACCCAGACAAAAAACCAATTCATAAATGCATTGAAAGGAGCACATATTAAGAGAACTGTTAATCCAGCAGAAAAGAGACCTTGCGCCTGGACAAACCGTTTCCCACTTTCAAAACACGCATACGCCGGGGCACCAAGGAGGACGACCTTAAGATATAGACCTGCAAGCATTGCGACCTCTTTATTAGGTATGATAACCGTCAATATCTTATCTGCAAAATACCATACGATGCCAATGGGAATTGTCAGGACCCAGAGAAAATACACCATTCTCTGCATGTGCAGTCCAACAAGGTCTTTGTTTCCCGAACCAAAAGCCTGGGCGCAAAGAGTGTCCAGGCTTGTAGCGAGGCCTTGATATATCGAGTAGCCCGTGATGTTGGCAGTCATGCTCGCGAGGGACATGGCTCCGAGCTCTACTTTTCCAAGATGCCCGACTGTAAAGATGCTGGCAACCGTCAAGGAATATTGCAAAAGAAACGTGACCACCAACGGGGCAGTATATTTGGTCAAAACTTTCGCTTCCCGACCCCATGTTGTGTAGATCAAACCTGCTTCAACTGCTTCCTCCCATTTTCTGCCAACGTCATCGCGGTTGACATGGTCACCATGTCGCCTAGATGATACCAAAAGGGCAGTAGTTTCAGTGGCACTGGAGCCAGGGGCACACTCGGAATCCATTGACTGGATAGATTCTTCGTCTCCTCGCCGGACAGCCGTCTCTGACGCTTTCAGTCTCTGGGACAGCAGGGAACTGATCTGGTTTTGTAAAGTAGCCGCTTTCCCATGGTGGCGCTCCGGAGGAATAACATGGTTGTCTTCCAGTAAGTCCCGTTCTTCCTCCAACGCCTGCTCCACCTCCCAGTCCACTAACGCCTCACGGTCCTGCTCCTGGGAGTGGGGAACAACGGTCCCTCTGGGGCCTGCTGTGAAGAAGCTAGGCCTTCTATAAGATCCAGCCAGAGAATGAGGGCTAGAAACAACAGTCGATGGTGAAGCTGGAATTGACCCAGAAAAGGTTCTCTCTAAATGATCACGGCCTTCTCCATTATTGACGGGGATGGGGCCATCATTGTGTGGATAAATCGGCATATTTGTCTGCAGATGAGGAAGATCAGAGGCAGCAATACTGGCTCTAATTTACAGATATATTCCTGCCTGTTAAAAAGGTAAGCAAGTACTCAAGCAACCAGGAGACTGACATCAAACGACCCCAAATGGATCCATGCCGGATTAATCGCACAATTGCAAGGTATGAAAAAAACAATTGGTGGGATAAATTAAGGGCTGAACCCTCCAGCACAGGGGAGGAGATAAGGGAGGGCGGGTGTGATTCAAGACGGAAAGTAAATAAAATAGTTAGCTACCTATGAACAAGGGGGCACGTTGGCAACAACTCAGTAGCGAAATCATAGATCTTCTACATAGAGATGAACTGCTCATATATATATAAAGATAGAAATGGTTATATATCCCGTCTCTACGCACAGAGGGGATAAATGGAGAGGGGGAGAAGAGATCATGACTCTGCTGGGCTGGCGCGGGAACCTGGGGAAGCTTCTATAAACCAGCTTAACTAACTAGTCAACTGACTGGCTGCCTGGTGCCGGCTGACTCATGCAAGTCTCAACGGCGCGTGGGATCAGCCAGCCAATCAGAGAAGCATGCCATGGGGTTCCCCAAGCTCCACGCCTTGAGTTTGCCCATCTGGGGTTAGCGCGGTATTACTCATATCCGGCACGAATTGCTGATGTTTCCCCATCTTCGTTAGTCAGCACATGCTGATTAACTAACTATGCTGTATTAGTTTTCTGGTCGAATACGGTTATTTATTTCAGTCCGATCATATTTTTCTGTTATGCGATGTATGGTTCCATTTATAAATTACCAGCACAGGTTTCGTGTGCTTTCACCCGACTGACTATTCGTGAGTTGCTCAGCTAAACTAACTGGTTGACGAGATATTTGACAGAACTTTTCCCTGCAGCTACTTGAAACCGGGATCATGCGCTGTGCGAATCACAAGAATATCAAAGACAGATGCTTATCAGCGTTATCCTGGTTGCGAACGGTCGACCCAATTATTCACCTTAACTAAATTCTGACCATTAAATTCCGTCATTGCAACACCTGCTCCAACCATGCCGCGCGAGACTACCCCAGAGCTTGAAGACGCTGCAAACTGCAATACAACCATAGCCAATGCGCTGGGAAGAAAACCAGTCCACGTCACAGCGTATGGGCCCATTTTCCCATTTCCCATTTCCCATTCCCCATTCCCTTTCTAGATCCCATCGTATCCCAGCCGCACTGCCTAACCCCGGGCGCACACAGAGATCTCGCCTCTGAGGGCCCACTCTTCCTCTCTCAACCCCTCTTCGGCCCTCTGCTCTTCGAGAACAAAGCATCCGACGCTCGCGACCACTGCGCAAACGAGCGCACCTTCCTATCATGGCTCCGTCTCTCGATGTACCTCGCCGTCGTCTCCTGCGCGATCATAATGTCCTTCCACCTGCACTACCAACCGACTGAACTCGAGCTGCGCATGGCGCTGCCGCTGGGCATCATGTTTTGGATTCTGTCCTTCGTCTGTCTGGGGAGCGGGTTGGCTACATATATACGAACGGTGACGAAGTACAGTCGGCAAGCGGCGCTGGTGCAGAGTGGCTGGAAGACGCAGGTGGTTTTCACTGTTGTTGCGGTGTCGATTATCGGGACCTGTATCATCCTTCTGAGCACGGGTTCGCCATCTCTTACCTAGCGGTTCTACAGATACCCCCTTGTGGTGGGAGTCAACCCTCACCAAGGTGTGGACAGGTTATGCTTTATTTATTTGGGTATGCTTGGCGTTAGAATTCAGATATCAGGGTTTTTGACTTTCTTGGTCTGACCTTCTGTTCGATCGTTCGATTTATCTCATTCATATAACACATCCGATAGATCCCTTTTTATTATTATTATTATTATTATTATTATTATTATTATTATTTATTTATTTATTTTTTTTTATTTTTTTGTTGTTGTTAGCCTACGTTGTCATGATTTCTTGTGGCTATGCATACGGGGAGCTAGAATCCTGCTTATGTTCTCCTTGCAAGAGAAGTAGGTGTTGGCAGTTTTTGGACGGTATAGGGTTCATTATTGCAATCCTCATTATATCTCGCCTATAGATCCCATGCCGGAATTAATTCGATACGGAAAGGGGACTTGAAGAAGAAATAACTCGTATTGCGATTATATGCCCGAAAATATTTCAGCGAGAGAAACGTCTTCATAGTGCAGCCAAAGTCAATCGAGGTCAGAACATTGCAAGGTTATGGGGTATCGCCCTCATGTGGTTTTGCTCCGCTAAGCTCAGATCAAATGGAATACTAATAAAATAGATAAACGGGAAAAACAGTAATAGCAATTCAAAGCATACGGTGGAGCATGCTGTCTCCCTTGTGCTGCTCGAACTCTTTGGTGCCGAACTTCTCCCACCAGTTGAATAGCAGAGAGTTGCAGATGAGCTTGAACCACGGGGTGAATTTCAATTCGGGCTCCTGGAACATCTGTTTGAGTTCCTCTGCCGTAACGTATCTCGTATCGCGGACTTCGTTGGGTCTCACGTCCAGATCAACGTCGGCCTGGATGAAGAGAATGTAGTCGACTGTACGGTTTTTGAACATGAACCATTAGCTTGACCTTTGATATCACACGAAAACTTAGAATAAACACAAATATTCTTCATCTTACTTTCATGCTCTCCCCACTTGCCATCACTGGGGGCCAGATAGTGAATCCTAGTTAAAAAATCGAACTTCTCCAGTGGAACTTGCTCAGCCTTAATTCCGAGCTCGTGGTTAAGTTTTCTCTGCGCAGCTCTTTTAACACCCTGCACTGCAGCCTCGAACTTTACTCCGCTTTCACCGGGGATGCTAAGCGGGTGAGAGCAACAGGTATTGGTCCACATATCAGGAAACGTGATTTTTTCGGAAGCACGCTGCTGGAGCAACAATCTTTTATTGGAGTCAAAGAGAAAGACGGAGAAGGCGCGGTGAAGGAGCCCGCGATCGATATTGCTCTTCAAGTGGCCTATAATATGTAAAGTAACGTTGCGAAAAAAGGTCAGCACACACAATCCTGTCTGTCCACGGATACGAAACAAAAGCGAAGGATAGCCAACAACATTTGTCCAGCGGAAATTCCGGATAAAGAATTGCACAGGAAACGAAAGTAAGGAGGGAAGAACAGACATGTCTTCTTGCTAGCGCTTCCAATGGGCTGGTCATTCTCATCTAGCACAATGCAGACTTCATCCATCAGACGGATCTGCTCCACATCGTAGCCCTCAAGATCGTCGCTCTCACCGGCAGAGGGGCCACGCTGTGTTCTGGAAAAAGCATGCGCAAGAGTTGGGTTCACATCTGGAAAGAGACTAGTGACATTCTCCGCCGTTATAACTGGAGTTGTCGTCGTCGTCGTCGTGCTTGACATTATTATGGGTGGACATGTAAGGGTGGTAAAATCTCGAGGACGGGGGCTTGACGGGGGCTTGACGGGAGCTTGACGGAGAGGGGTGGTGTGGCGGTAAACCGGGAATTGAATCACGGTTCGACAGAATATATGCTATGACTTCGTACGGAAAGACGCGCTCGAGAGGGTTATGTATGATAGCGTAGAGGTGGATTGCACGGGATCAAAGACTTCAAAGACAATGAAATATTTAAAATCCCTTGGCGGTTGAGTCGAAGTTCGGCGTTGAGGAATCACTCGGGTAACCTTCCTTGGAACTTGTCCGCCTAATTAACCAAAACAACCAATAACTCCGCAAACATCAGATTATATACTCTTGACCTCTTCGAAACAGACTTTCAATTTAAACCTACAACCCACCGCAATTGAGTTTCATAGTGATTAAGTCTCGTTTATGTTTTGCGTCTTTCGACAAAAGTAGGAGAGCGGAGGAGAAATTTAACATTTACAGACCGACAATGAGATGCTTTTGTTTAATTGATTGCTGTCAAAGGTGCCTGTTATCGATGAATACTTAATGTTTTCAATCATTCAATGCAGTAAAAGATTATAAAAGATATCAGGTTCCTAATCCAATGCCTGATGCTGCGGAACCTATCCCTGACAGCGGAGACGCACGGCCATCGACCATCCAACGATCCAAGACTTTAGTTTACTAGTTATCATAATCCGAACGCTTTACCTCCCAGAGATTATAAACGATGCCGTCGGGCAACGAGGCTTTGCCCCCTCTTGCAGTGCTCGCTTTTACTCTTCGAATACCCATGGAGCTTTTCCTAGGGACCCTTTTGGGATAACCCGTTCTAGCTATTCTCTGTCAGCTTTGGCACCAGAATGCAAGACGCTATCCCGAGCTTGCGGTATGATGGATGAGGAACGGATCCGTTCTCTGTATTTTGAGAAGTTGGCTAGCGACAACACCAAATCCTGTCCTTAACAGATCATGCGGGATCTATGTATTTGGAAACATCTTTATCCAACTGCACCGGAAAGGAGGTGTTGGATTTTGCAAAACTTTTATTTTATGGAGGTAAATGATCGATCAATATCATACAAACAACGCATCCTGTGATCCCTCAGCCAACCTTTTACTTGAACAAATATGGGGGGATATATAAAACTCCGGATGTCATCTCCTAAAGGAATATTTTGATACATCAGACAAAGAGCATCATCTCTGTCCCCGATTGCCATCAAGGAAATGATCGTGCTATATTCCAAAGTCCGTTATTCAGAGATTGACAATCCATCAGACAGGCCCCTTTTCCCTATGTCGTACAGGGGATTGTGAAAGAATGATCCTGCACTACCATACCAAAGAAAGGCTCAATAGTGCTTCTTTTGGCGCCTTTGAAGTGCGGGGAGAGAGAAAGGTCCGATAATCCAGTACATATGTTTCTGTCATGCAAGGAAGAGCCGTCGTCGGAAGCTGGGCCTAATCCTCCGTCTTTGCTGCTCAAAAATATCCCACAACTTTTAGAAATTATAGAAATGCAATGGAAGGGTGAAGCTCCTGCAAGCTCTGGTACTTTTCGCGAATATGGAACAGTCGCTCCCATTAGCTGGGGTCATTTTCGCCCTTTTCATGACTCAATATCTCCCTGGATTCGCAACTATGACAAGCATATGCAGCTTACATGGAATTATCAGAGAAGGGCTTTCGAACAACGAGGCTCTTGGTATATAGAAATCTGAAATGATCTGAGTTGAGAAACAAGGAATACATTGGTGACGCCTGGAGCAGCCCGCAGGATTTGATCTCTGGGACTTTTCCTGTTTTCCCCCTTCAGTTCTCGACGATGCGGTCATAATCAACTTTCAAATTCCAGAGAGTATTTTTTTAAGAGTTAGTTTTCACTATCAACTGGCTGATTTGCGATGCTTATTCAGCATTTATATATCGATCAAGGATCACCTCCGCCAGTAAATGATTCTGCAATATGCATGGAAAAAAAAAACCGAAGCACAATGGAAGGTTCGGAACTCCCCAGAAATGTAGAGTTCTCAAGCTAAAATTGACAGCTGTCTGAAGAACACAGAAATTGGTATGTGCGTACTCCAGAGTAAGACAAAGATCTTCAACGTGCATAACGACTTGTGTGCGGTCAGTTTTCCAAACCCGAAGCTTCATTTTCGTGCTAGCTACCCTTTTCGAACTCACGTCCGCGCGTGCATGAAATGGAAAGTCGAACAATTTCGAAGGCCCCAAAACGGATATATTGTTCCTTAAACGTGATTGCATAAATATCAATCTTCCCTTCGTTCATTTTATTCTTACATACATTGTGCAACTATGCCCATGCGCCCAGCCAGGCCAGATCGTTCATGCAGGTCCCGGGTCAATATCTGTTCACTCGATATGCCAACAGAATGGGCTGTGCGGTGATTTCAAAACTAAGTACTCCTGTCTCATGTAAGGAGGAAGCATAAGTGTAAAGCTTTTTTAATTCCAGTTACCCATTCACGGCTTCATGTATGTACTTTACCGTACGTATAGATCCATATTTTGACTTACAAACCAGGAAATGAAATGAAATTCTCAATTTCCCATATCCTCCCTCCGGAAAGCGGATACAGTACCCAAGTAGTTCACGCTTGTTGTATCAGGACAAATAGAGGGAAGAGCAATAGAAAATTGCACTGTTAAGTAGACCATACGGATTTTTAAAAATCTAGACAGAGGCGATGCGAAGCAATGATAGTTGCCCAAGTAACTAGAAAGATAGATAAAATGAAATAAACGCTGAAGGTTCAGAAATGATGAAAGGTCGCAAAGGCCAACAATCGGCCCGCCTGCACAGGTAACGTGGTTGGGGAAGCCCCTATAGAATAATATAGGAATCGACAAACTCTCTCCAATTCCTCAACCCAGAGGTTGGTTACTTAGTTAGGTCGCAACACAAAATGGCCATGGATATCCTCTCCCTTTGTTCATTCTCTTCTCCACAGTATTCGGGGAAAAGCAGAGGCTCCGAAATATGCGGATCATGCACGGAATATGCAGGGGAATGGACATTGACCGATACCCATGAATAATATTTATTTATTTTTATTTCCTCCCCATCAACGGTCTTGATTTACACATTCTCTTTGGACTCCAAGTACTGCAGTACTTATTGTCTCTTTCAATAGTTACTGGCCCAGACCCCACATACATATTTTGCCCCTGTTGCACTGGCCGTGCTATCACTTTCCTCATGCTTTGGGCCTTGTGATGTTAGTTGGGGGCGGGGACAGTTATCGATCACGATCATCAGGAATCATGAGAAGCCACAAACGGGCCGTCCTATGAAGGCGCTTAGTCTGAACCAAAAGAACGATCGTTGAACCAGCAAGAATACGGGAATGGATCCGGGGAGCAAGGGATGCATGCAGATCCCGGCCGGAAAATCGATTGGCTGGGATGAAAGTTATTCCTACGATCAAATGTCAATTCTAGATACGATGAAAGAAAAATAATTATCTTGCTAACCGAGAAATAGTTTATACAGCCCATATCAATGAAGCAAGAACTCGGCCCGCTCCCCTATATATGATTTTTCTTGTGATTTGGAAAGAAATCTAGACCACATCTCTCGAGATGATCAGATCCCTAACGTCAAGCAAGCAATGTACAACAAATTGTAGTTTCAGATTGTAGCATACCGTCACACATGCTTCTACAAAATCCGCTGCATTGTGATGGCCATTGGGGTTGGCCACTTTGTGAGCCAACAGAATGTGGCTTTCGGATAGGATTACCCGAGAGGGGGACTGATGAACTTTCAGATAAGTGGATATTGGACATGCAGAAGAAAGTTTCAGGAGCTTAAATCAAATTGAAGCATACAATCTAAATAGAGTTGAGAAAATTGCATTACGAAATAAAGGTACAAGAATTAAAAAAGAAAAGAAAAGAAAGTTAAAAGCAACAGGTTATGCAAAGCAAACCATAACGTGGCCTCGGGCCAAGAATGCAAGGCACCAAAAGTATGAACCATCAACTGGAATTCCACACCATAACCGTCTTTGCTCCGCTCCCTGATTTCCTGTGCCGTGGTCTTATTTGTGACACCTACATTTTCATAGATATAACCAGAAAAAGGGAGATCAAAAATAAAACAACAATAAATAACAATAAATTAACAAAACAAAACCAATATACAGTGTACTGCTGAAAGCCATGGGGACCAGAAAATATAAAACTGAAATAAGCATTGACATCACAAGCAACCACCCACGGTACACAATATACCATGCGATAATCACAGCAGTGGTCTTTGTGTGACAGGTTTTAAGAGTCAAAAAGGGGTTTCCCTTTGGCCCATGGGTGGGAATTTACGCTTTTCTCTTTGCCAAAAAAAAAAAAAAAAAAAAAAAAAAAAAAAAAAAAAAAAAAAAAAAAACAGAAAGAAAGAGAGAGAGAGAGAGAAGAAAAGAAAAAAAGAGTACAGAAAACGAAACAAATAATTGGATATTTTCACAAATATTGTGGATATGCATTGGCCGTATCATCGAGGTATGGCGAAAGGTACGAGGTATTTAACTTTTGGTCATCTGTTTCGGGATATGTAGATATGGGATCGCCGTATGGGACAGGAGGGGGTTCGATAAGATCAACCACAACTGTAAGATCCGCAGTTTGGCGTTGAGCTTGACGAAGCTCTCTTCTGCACCCATCCTCGCGATGTCTATAGAATTGACTTCAATATCCTGTGAATTTTGCACAATAACAGAATGAATGCACTGATGTCTTCTCACCTTTTAAGTGTGTCCTGACGAGCAAAGTAGTGGCCACATTGATCACAACCATGCTGTCTTAGTTTTCTATGCACCTAGAAATGAATATCAACATATTTTCTTTCGGACAGAAGAGAATGCTAGATAAATCGGAGAAACATACACTATCGACATGTCTTTCAAGGTCAGTTTTCCGAGTAAATTTTTGCGTGCACTGGGGAGCAGCACATTTGTAAGGGAACTTTCGATTCGGATCATGGATTTTCATGTGCGATTTGCAGTTCGAATTCCTGGTGAATTTCATTCCACATTTCTCACATGTATATTTCCCAGCCGTTCCGTATGGATTTCTCCTTGCTTGTTTCCTGATACCACTAGACTGAACTTTACCTGCGTCGCCATGAGAGACTGCCACATGTGAGCGCGAAGATCCTAGAGGGATTTTAAGAATCCTATTATTTATCATGAGTCTTTCGCTGTTGTGATTCTCCACGTTTGTGTTCTCTGCGCTGCCTTCGAGTTCATAAAGTATAGCATTAGAATCACGGCCTAAGTTCCAAGGTATGGTACAGCCCATCTGCTGGTGCTGCTGATGCTGCTGAGACATGGAAAACTCTGTTCCCTGTCTCGAAACTGGAACTGGCTGATAGTGAAGACCACTATGATATGAGGCCACAAATCGCTGCATCATTGCGTTGCCCACCAATTCACGATGTGCGGGACTCGAGTATAGCATTGAGGTAGCCGAATGAAGTTGTGTACCATGTACAATCGATTGAGCCTCTTCAAATGGAAGAAGGTCTGATATCGCTCCCATGGGAGAAAAAGCGTGACTTGAGCCACATTCACGTTGCCATACTTGAGGCGGTTGTAGAAGCGACTGAGACGGTGAGCACATAAATATTTGCGAGGGACTGAAAATACCAAGCCCAGCAGTCGCAGGCGAATCGGCTGAGAGGACTTCCTTTTGCGCACAGCTTTGGGGAGGAGTAGGGTAAGGAGAGGAGGCATTGACAGCTATGGGATGACAGGCAGATGTATAGAAGTGCAGAGAGTGTATCGCATGAGACCTAGGAGTGAGGTCCATAACTGGCAGAGATCGAATACAATGACGACAACAGATCTTGAGCAAAATATAGAGCAGTAGCAAAAAAAATATGTTCACAGGACAAGTGAAAATATATTGATAGTGAAGCGGTAGTAAAGTAAGCAATGGTTGGAGCGAAACTCTGTAGTGAGGAACTGGTGTATGTAGCGGGACAAGAAATAAAATACCAAATGAACAAAAAGAAAACAAGTGAGAAATTTGGGAAAGCAGAATAAAAAGAATAATAATTATAAAATAAAAATAAAACCCTGGATAGGGCATCGACCCCAGCGGCCAGATAACCACCCCTGAGTCCTATGGTTTGGTTAGGTACCATGGCATGTGGAGAGATAGAGCGATGCACGAGCGAGTCGAAAGGACGAGCGTGAAGAAAAAACCCTGCATAAAACATGCAAAAGACAATATGAGAAGTTGAATGAACGTCCTGCCACCGCTATCTGTATGTACTGTAAAATACATTTGCTTGCAGCGAGCCTAAAGAATTCGGCTGGAAACTAAAATGGCATAGACGGACCCGACAGTACGGTATGCGCATGCGCCTTATCTCACAGTCCAAAACACAGGCAATGGGTTAATTAGTTGGAGAAATTCCTGGGCAGCAATAGGTGGATTGGAAAAACTGTGAGATTTAAACGAGGGAACAGGTAGAGGGGCCTCTTTTGGTGTTGTATCGGTTCAAGCAACCCAATGATCTTCTCAACACTTTACTCAACTAGACAGGCTCTTCTCCGTCTGTCGGCGTTGCAGAAATTCAAAATGAAAAACATAGCGGGTGGAGTATATATGCGGGAGATCTGCTGAACATGAAGAGAGGCGCGAGGCGCGTACAAGTGGATAGATTTAAATATAACTTGTCAAAAATGAGTGGGTGAAATATGTGTGGAAAATTCCGGAACCGCCACGCAACACAGGGCGTGCTAGGATATCCAGGAAATGTATCTACCAGGGAGAGAGAAGTTATCCTTACCAAGCATATTGAAAATGCTGTGTATACATTTTGTGCATATCCGACATCAGATGTATTAGCCATAATTGCTTTTTGTTCTGGCGTTAAAATACTCAAATTTCAATGATTCCACGGGGAAATGGTTGCTGCCAACTGATCGATCGGGCTGCAGATGTTATCCACAACTTCAACCATGTCTGTCAGGCGAACTGGGGCCGCAATGGATCCGTGATCCACTTCTCTTGGCGCAGAGCGGGAACTGGCTTTAAAATATCTTTTCCCTGCAAAAGAACACGGCGGGAAAAGCCTTGACGACGACGAGTAGATAATTTGTGTGCTGGAACCCTCACTTGAATGCGAGAAAATGGACGGGACGACGAGGGTGGACATTGGGGAATTGTTTTCGCCGAGCCACATAGCGTCTACTGTTCTCATATGCAAGAATAATAGCTAAAATATGGAGAGTGAGTTACCTTCAAGAGTGTTATCCGGACCTAGCATATCGATCCAGAAGGTAAGAGTAGTCAGAGAGGGCGAATGCAAGGAGAGGTATCAGATTCTTGCAGTGAATCATGTGAGGTCGTACTTGTTGGACTTGCCATCCTACCACATCTATATACAGTCAGGACAGGTATTGGCAAATTATAACTTACCAATGGGGGCAGAGAGTTCAGTTAGACACCGGGGAGTTCACGCTTCCAGCACATAACGGAAAGTCTAGGTTTAGATGCAAGTTGCTGACACGGTTTGCGGGGTGGACTGCGCACAATAAATGAGTCTGACTGAAAAAGATATTTTTTTCGGGTATGTGTCATGATCTATAGGTTAACAGATTCATCTCCATGTGTCTGACTAAAAATATGTTTCCTCACCTCTGCTAGGCTCAAACCCATCAGACTAGAAACTGAAAATATCAAAGAATATTCATCATACAGACGAATACCAGCGTAGATGAATTTGTGAACTTGGTCACTAGGCATATTCGACTTTGAGTTTGCAAGGAAATGCTGCAGCCACAAAAGTCAAAATAATGACGCAAGTGACAAAAAACAAAAATATTGATAGGCCAACATAATGCTGCTAGCAGATGATGTTGGTACTGCCAGTGGGTGAGGATTCAAGGAATGATGTGACTTGCTCTTGGAAAAGTGATGTGGTGTAGAGTGTGATGTAGTTATCTCACACCAGCTAGAGGTAGGTAGAGGCTTATGGATGAGTGAAAATCCGCAAAGCAAACAATTAGCGTTGTTAGTGTCAAAATCACCTAATCGCAACAGCCAATGGATTGTGAAAATATCCCCGTCATTGTAAACTGGGCTGCAGCAACAACGGTTCTGGGCATCAACCTTACATCCTGAGCGATGTCCTAATATCCAATCATTTCAGCCACTTTCCCCTTTGCATAAAGCGGTCAATGCTTGGCGGGATGTGAAGAAAGGGTTTGACGATCATCTTATACATATTCGAGAGAGTTCGAGCATTTAAATGTCATTATTATCATGGCATCTGTTAGTGATGGGCTTTGAAAACTACCCCCGCCAGTCCGAAATTCACTCAAGGAACATTTGACGGTCATATCCAAAGGAAGCTTTGACTAACATCCACGACATCTGCTGAGAGTTATCCCAAGACAACATTGTGAAAGTGGAGAGAAAACGTAGATAATATGTGAGCAGTCTATCAACTGCCTTCATTACTCAAATTTCTGCTGCGTTCTCAACGAGCGGGTGGATGAGGCGTGATACCAATGTAAAGAATAGCCACCACAGGGAGAAATTTTAGGAAAGCCTTCGTCTAACCCACAGCTCATAGGATTAGCACCAGATATGACCGACGGATACATTTCCAGTGTTGAACAACTAGGCTACCATGTCCTTGAGTACGGGTATCTATGCATAATCAGTTCTAGCGTAAATGGGCCGGATGAAGCAGTGGTCAAAGTCGGGGGTGGCGGGAGTTACTCACCAAGCTACCGAAGTTGAATTCAGGCTCATCAACGAGCAGATCCTCCAATAACCGGTCAGATTCAATGACGTGTGGTATACATTTTGACAGATGCTCAAATCTGTCTTGGAACTAAAAATAAGCCTTTTAACGATAGGATATCGAAAGATATGTCTGTGATCTGTGACGTAGGTACTTCCCTGACTCCAACTAATGACGACTTCGAAAATCCCCGTTAGCAAGAAGCGCGCGTATCTTTAATCATATATGCGCAGCAGAGTCTGCCATTAACAGTAATCATACAACACTGAGCCACATCTCCTGATCGTAAAAGCGCCCGAAACGGAAGGGAATGAGATTCATCAAGATGTCTAGGGCGGTGAGACCCAAAACGGCAGGGAGAACGATTCATTATGATGCCTTAAGCAGTGGGAGATGAACTCACAAGCAATGAGTAATGCAAGCCCCGTCCCAATGATTCCTAGCTCCCACAGGCTCCAAAAATTCATTTGATAGAATGTAATTCATGGCTCCCGTATGCTACTAATTTCGTCGCATGAAAATGCGGAAATCCAAACGTATATGAGTACTTCAACAAGGCTGGTTCAAAAAGGATTCCGTGCCATAAGAACTGAAGAGTATAAAGCGAGGAACGACAGCAAAAAAAGAGAGTCTCAAATGATTTCTGGTGGAATGGAACACGCAGCCTCGAATACGGATTGGTCAATCACGCATGCACAAGTTGACAGCGGGGAAGAGCTTGACTCAAATCATTTTTTCCTTGGTATAATAAATGGTTCCCTTTGTGGAACAGCCGTGGTTTTTCTTTCAAGTGGACATTGAGAGAATCCTATAATAATATTGCTCCAGTCCATAGATTATTGACATATTACTGGATAATAGACTGAGATAAAACCTTTTGAGTTTGCAATTGTTACAATTTCGCATTGACACTCGAAAATATGGAATATACGTCGGCTTCAAGATCTCCTTCCGAGGAATTGGTGCCGGTGTTATTGTTATTTCCGAGAGACCCTTTATTAATTTTTTTTGTCCCATATGCCAAGAGTCGTGAAACCAGTGAGGAATGCAGGAAGAAAGGCCGGCGTTCATGGCCAACTAGATCTTACCTATATGAGGCTCTCTGCACGATCCTATTGCATAGGCTTCAGTATCAAACCTAGACATCCTCAGAGTATATGCCTCGAGAAGTTCGTCGAGAGGGTATGTTAAAGAGTTGCCAAACCACAAACTCTCAAGCATATCCTCGACTCTCGTTAAGATCCCAATAGCCATCATCCCAGTTTAGAATCCTGGTGGTTGTCAGTGCTGCTCTGTTCCAGCAACAGGCGGAATACGTGGACATATACAAACTTTAAAGCTTATATAAACGATAGGATTGTGGACCGTCCAGCAACGATAGTGAGAGGCATTTTCAAAGGAGTCAAGCAGTTGTTGCCCACATTTGGTCAAAACTGTAAGGGGCAACTGGAATTGCTTGTATAATAGAGCTAAAATCGTATCAGTATATCTTCCAACTACCAAGATTTTCGGAGCTGAAAACATACTCTGAGAGCTTCTTTATGATTGGGGCAACGGGCTTGTCATCAGCAATCATAGGGAGTTCAAATGAATCATTATCTGGTAGAAATATCGACAAACTGTCTGGTCGGGACATAGTTTCGATGCGTCTGGACGGATTGTGCAGGCCACATCAAACAACTTCTATAACAATTCAGAGCACTATATATATAACTTTCCTCAAGTTATTCCTGCTGATTCCATTTCAACAAGAGTCCGATGAACCTTGGGCACTGATATTTGCACATTAGCTCACTTGTCCGTTCAAGACATTACCGAAGAAATTTACGGCAGGGTGGCACGGCAGTCTGAAAGACCATTCCAATAAACCAATACGGGAATCCCATTGGATATATGAAGTGGAAATTGATGCCGTCAGATAATATCTTAGAAATATATTTCCAATATCTCTATGCATTATCCTTGATGGCGTTTGCAAAACAATTTTGGGGTTTAGTTCCCAGATGGAATTGTATTTGGTTCCACGTTAATCGGGGACGAGTTGGATGCGGCTATTCCAAAAGAGAGATTTGGTTGTTTTAATACAGTTGTTACGATGGAGACGCCCAAAGTCTGCGATAATTAGCGTAAGATACAACGACGATACACTCGTTAACTAGTTAGTTATCACATGAGTGTTTTGCTTAGCTAAGCAGATCTGGATCACCAAGTTCCAACGTCATACCGGCCTGCGCATCTTCAAGCATCATATGGCGTGGTCCAGCATATCAAGGGCTATTTCGACGTGACGAGCATCTGCACCCGTTCCGGTGCTTTAAATGCGATGCTTATGACGTCACGCCTACTGGCAAAGATTCGTGAAATACCAAAGAAGACTTTATAAACTCAAATACATCAAGGCATAGGACAGGCAACATGCTTTCAGGCTGCCACTTGGGGTGTTGATAATACTTGAGCTCCTAACGACCCTGAGCTCCTAACGACACCATGGGACAGGGCTATTCCATCACCACTTTGTCAGCTGGCTCTGCCGGCATCGATGTGCCAGAGCTCGCGGACCTCGTATACGAAAAATCCTTGGGAACGGCTAGGTTCATGAAGAGCATTCGTGCCCGACATAGAAATGGTCTCGTTTTTGTTAAGGTGATAATAAAGCCGTATCCGAGCATGAAACTGGATCCTTATGTCAAGGCCATTCTACGTACGTGTTTGTTTCTGCGATGAAGCAGCTGTCATAATCTAATTAAGTTTGGGTAGATGAACGAGATATACTAGAGCAAGTTCCAAATGCCCTTGGGTATCAGCGGATACTGGAAAGTGGGACTGGAGGTTATCTTGTCCGTCAATATATTCATAGTTCACTGTACGATCGTATGAGGTATGTTCATAACAAACGCCCCTCTGATGATGAAATACAGTCCTGTTTAACCCTGTACAGCACACGTCCATTCCTCGAAGATATCGAGAAGAAATGGTTAGCGTACCAGCTACTATGCGCTCTACGGGATTGCCATTCCCATGATATCTTCCATGGAGACATAAAGACGGAGAATCTGCTCGTAACGTCCTGGAACTGGTTATATTTATCGGATTTTTCGTCGTCATTTAAACCAACATTTCTTCCAGAAGACAATCCGGCCGATTTTTCATTTTATTTCGATACGTCTGGCCGCCGGACATGTTACTTAGCTCCTGAAAGATTTCTCGTCACGGGAGAAGAACCTGAGGGTAGGGGAATGAACTGGGCAATGGATATATTTAGTGCTGGTTGCGTCATTGCCGAACTATTTCTCGAGTCTCCGATTTTCACCCTCAGTCAGTTGTATAAATATCGAAAGGGGGAGTATGACCCAGAACATAGCCATCTGTCAAAGATAGAGGATGCCAATATAAGGGATTTAGTCGTTCATATGATCCGTGTCGACCCGGAATCCAGATACTCAGCTGAAGAATGCCTCAATTTCTGGCGCCACAAAGCTTTTCCTGAATATTTCTACAGCTTCCTTCACCAATACATGGGGCTCATTACCGATCCCTCGTCTGGTGGTGCTCGTATTGGCCTCAGCCCTGGTGACCTGCGAGAAGCCGATGAGCGCATTGACAAAACCTATATGGATTTCGACAAAATATCATATTTTCTGGGCGTTAATGCTAAACCTACTATCGACGGGTCAAGTCTCACATACCCATCACTTAACTACCCCGATTTCCCCCTTCAACTCGATTTACCGAATCATGGCCACCAATATTCGAAACCACAACCTGAATCTGATGATGGGACATTGATATTTCTCACACTTGTTGTTTCAAATCTACGAAATACTGTAAAATCATCAACTCGAGTTAAAGCCTGTGATATTCTGTTGGCCTTCGCTGAAAGAGTTCCCGATGAAGCAAAACTAGATAGGATTCTGCCGTTTGTGATGTTTCTACTTACTGATCGTTCAGATATTGTTAAAGTGGCTGCAATCCGAACGTTAACACAACTTCTCGCCATGGTCCGTGTGGTTTCCCCGGTCAATGCTTACATCTTCCCAGAGTATATATTTCCCCGCCTCCAGCCATTTATACCCAGCCTCAGTTCAAATCCCAGCCCAATCGTTAGGGCAACCTACGCTTCCTGCATTGCGTCTCTCGCTCAATCCTCCGTTCGGATATTAGATATGATTCAAACCTTGCGCTCGGACATCCGACTGGGTTCGCTTGTCCCAGAAAGCACAGAAGCAGGTTGGACGGAAGGTGTGTCCTACCATAATCTTTACGACGTTGCTCAGGTTGATCTTCTTGACTTTTTCGAAGCTCATACAAAGGCTCTCCTTACGGATAATGATGTTTCCGTTCGTCGGGCCTTCCTTGGATCTGTCTCCAGTCTTTGTGTCTTCTTTGGTAACCCGAAGACAAACGAGGTTATTCTGAGCCACCTCAATACTTATTTGAATGATAAGGATTGGATACTCAAGTGCGCATTCTTTGAAGCAGTGGTTGGAGTCGCAACATATGTTGGAAGTATAAGTTTAGAAGAATTTATTCTACCACTTATGGTTCAATCAATGACGGACCCAGAGGAGTTTGTTATTGAGAGAGTCCTTCGCTCTCTTGCTCGTATGGCGAAACTGGGGCTATTTCAACGATCAACGACATGGGATCTCCTTCATATCGCGGTACGATTTTTCGTCCATCCTAGCATATGGATACGTGAGGCCGCCGTTCAATTTGTTGTGGCTTCAACAACGTTCCTCTCCCCAGCCGATACATATTCCATTATATCACCCCTTGTTCGTCCTTTCCTCAAAACCAACACAACAGACATATCGGAAACCCAGCTTTTGGATGCGCTGAAAAAGCCGCTATCCAAAAGCGTGTATGATATGCTATTGATATGGGCAATCAAGTCTGAAAAAGGCCTCTTCTGGAAAACTGCTGCTCGAGATGGAACATTTGTTCTGGCAAGTCCGCCTACTCCAAGTATAGGGAAAATGCGGCCACGGAGCGGCAACTTTTCGTCTAACGCTCTCACCAAAAATGAAGAAGATGAGCAGTGGCTCGCTCGATTGAAGAATATTGGGATGACCCAGGATGACGAATTCAAGCTATTGGCTCTCAAAGAGTACATATGGAGAGTAGCGATGAGACGGGCAAAAGAAGGAGACACCAGTTCCACGGTGCCTCTATCCAACATTATATCTTTAACTCAACACGGTGTAACTCCGCAAACGGTCTTCTTTGATAAAAATCAAGGGATGGAACAGCAGCAATCATCCATTGACAAAGCCGATGCACCTGGAGAGAGAAAAGTTCATACAATTGCCGATGCACTTCTTGACGCCTCAACCACAATTAATGCAGCGCCTGGTTCGCGCCGTAAGAACATCCCACTCAAGGGCAGCAGGCGGGTAGAAAGCGTAAGCTCTCTTGCTGTGCCCCATACAGTTTCACCTGAGTCGCCATCCAAGAACCCCCGTGCGGGGTTGCACGATTCGTCAGCATCTCCATCTGATGTAGAACAAAGAGATAATTTCCTCAGAAACCGAACTGAAACCGTATCGGAACGTAATACCTCGTTGGACCGTAATGGTTCTGACAATCATGCCATTTCCCATCCGGACGGCAAACCTCATCGTCGATCTTCTGCCATAAACCTCCTCAACCGTAATGAAACCACCAAAGCATATGCTGAAACGTCAACTACATCCATGAATGCTTTCGGTAAAGTGGATGCAACCTTTCAAAGAGACCAATTCCGGCCATCGCCGCTCTCCATGGTGCAGGACGTCAATGTTCCACCAGAGCCACAGCAGCAACAATATCGCACAAACCATACGTACCGTGGCAATGATCCTACAATACTCAAGCTCCTGGATGCGGTGTTTGCTGAGAATTGTCCCACTGATGTATTTGAGTTTGGTCCTACTGTTTCCCCTGTGAGCGCTCATCATCCCATCAAGAAAGCCAGTTTCCAAGAACCAGAAAAGCCCTGGAGGCCTCAAGGAAACCTTGTTGCAATGTTCGGTGAACACAGTGGACCCATAAACCGCATTGCAGTCGCCCCTGACCACGCGTTTTTTGTCACAGCCTCAGATGATGGTTCTTTGAAGATCTGGGATACCACGAGGCTAGAAAAAAACCTTACACCGCGATCGCGACAGACCCACCGCCACAGCAATGATGCGAGAGTGAAATGCGTTACATTCATCGAAAACACTCACACATTTGTCAGTGCAGCTACTGATGGAAGTATTCATGCTGTTAGGGTTGATTATCGCAGTATTAATGATGCTGTTCGATATGGGAAACCACAAATTGTTCGCGACTATAACCTTTCTTTCCATTCAAATAACTCAGGTGAATACGCCGTTTGGATGGAACATTATCGGTCGGAAACCCATTCTATCCTTTTTGTAGCCACGAATAGATCCCGAATCTTGGCGTTAGACATGAAATTGATGACCCCTCTATATACCCTCGAAAACGCAGTTCATCATGGAACTCCCACAACATTTTGCCTGGACAGGAAACGCAACTGGCTTCTCCTAGGCACATCTCACGGGATTCTTGACCTCTGGGATCTGCGGTTCCGCATACGAGTAAAATCCTGGGGTCTTCCCGGCGGAACCCCAATACATCGGCTGCTTATCCACCCGCTTAAAGGGCGAGGTAGATGGGTGTGCGTGGTGGGAGGTAGCAACAACGGTTCCGAAATTATGGTATGGGATATCGATAAAGTCCAATGTAGAGAGGTTTACCGCACTGCGTCTGCGGCTGCCAATCCCGTTAATGGAAGCAAGGATTCGCCCAAAGCTAACACAAGGAAGAACACCAACCTGGTAGCGGATATTAGCTGGAAGAACTATGAACCGTGGCGTGTCGATGAGGATCGACCTGAAAGCATGCTGGGCCGATTTGCCAGCAATCCCCAGTCGTTTGCGGGTGTCGAGCCAAGCTTAGGAAACGAGACTGGTCTTGGCTCATCTAGCGGTGGCGACATCCGTGCCCTTGCAGTTGGGCTTGACGTACCTGAAAATAATCAGGATGGGTCCAAATACGGCTTTTTGATATCTGGTGGATCGGATCGGAAAGTCCGCCTCTGGGATGTCACACATCCTGATGCTTCGATGGTGATCAGTGGTCTGGGGGTAGTTCCTGACGGAGTTCCACAAAAACCACGATATGACACAACACACCCCACTCCGTCGTTAGCAATAACCACTGAGTGGGTACCTACTGGCGGGACGTCATCTAATGGCAGTGCCAAGGACCTGGATTCCGCAAAAACCCGTGGAAGCAAAAATGCGGCGACAGGACCAGCGAAAGCTAGCCATCCTCCCAGGAGTACAGTAATCAGTTTGCAACAGCAGCAGCTGCTGAAAAGTCATCTCGATTCGATCCTTGATGTTGCTCTCCTGGAAGTTCCGTATGGGATGACTATCAGTGTGGATCGTGGTGGGATGGTATATGTATTTCAATAAATATCTGGGTTAATGGTTACGTGTATAGGCCAGGTCTTTAATTCAAATACAAGCATGCAATCGATACTTATACATCAAATCCCTGTTCAACTTCACACCAAATAATCGTACCTTTGATAGGATCGAGAATCACTTTTAATATACTCCAGTGATTTTTTCAATCCTTAAATCAGACATGCGTCTGCTGTTTTCAGAGTATGCTTCCCTCGATCACTTCTATAACAGGATAAGAACGATTGGAAACTTTCGATATCAATCCCAGTAAAAATCGCAGTCTAATGTAAAATTGTGAAATGCTTATTTCAGAATATGATCATCACTTACTTGCGCGATTAGTATCTTGTTCCTTTTTATTCAGCCTTACAGATGCCCCCTCGTTCTCCTGGTTCAGGGCAAAGCTTGGATTTTCACAGATCAATTCGCTCCACCCGCTCCAACCAACACGATTGGAAATCATCGACTACTCGACTCCTCTTTTCGCTTCAGGGATCGCACCGCTTGCGAACTCCAGCAGCTAGCTCTATATTAAGTTCGCCCCGATGATCCAGAACGTTCTAGAAACATTCAAGAATTGCCTTTGCCTTGCTCGGAGCCTGGTCGAATTCCGCTTCTTCCAAAAACAGTTGATTAATCAAGTTAACGAACCCGATTGGCGCTTATTTAGTTATAAGCTAAGTACATTAGCTCACGACTTTCTCGCATCCTACTAAGTATTCTAAGCGTGTCACGGTTGAATGCAGTCCAACAGCTGTCATTGGGAAACTGGCATATGGTAATATGCCCGCTATCCTGTGGTGCTCAAGTGGTTGGTGCTAGGCCGTCTCATCCCATAAGCGCCAGGTTGAGAAAAAATCTAATATATATATATATAAATTAATCACTTGACTAAAGTGAAAAGGAAGATATATTCTCCCCGGGATAATATTATGCTGCGATTCATGGCTTAGTCTAGCTCGAATCCACTTGCCGGAGTCCGAAAATAGACCTCCTCGGTCTTCTCAGCTTTGATTTTTTTTTTTCTTTTTTTTTTTTTTTCCCATATTATCTGTGGGGTGATTTAATCCTGAAATCATTATTTTATTTTATTTTATTTTTATTTTTATTTTTATTTTTATTTTTTTTTAAAAAAAACTTCCTTTATTATCTACTGAGATTTCCTCAGTCTTCCAGTCATGGATATCGATCCTAACTTGACACGCGCAGATTTGATAGTAATCCAAAACTTGTTTCACGATGTCCCTAAACTAAGGAATCAAGGTATAAAAGCACGGAAGAGTCTGTCAAGTTCTTCCAGGAGGACGCGGGTTGCCGAATGTGGCTGTATTGGGAGTCAGCAGAAGCTCAACAGTGAGAGTAACATGATGTATATTATTTCCCCATGCATTGCTAACAGGATTCCAAGACGATGCCGCGAGATCCGATCACCTCTACCACGCTGAGAAATCGTCCGTCGAAACCTTGGCTTCATTCAACAACCCTCAACATGAAGACTTCGAACCAACCGTCTTTGTCATGTGGGATCTCAAGGATGTTAAGCTTCCCCGGTTTCTAAATGACTACCTCCTGCAACCATATATCAGGTTTGGGCGGAGTATGGTCCGCGTCGAGACAGATGTGGTCATGCTCACGCATCTCCTCCTGTACTTTGCAACATCCGTCCCGAGTGCAATTTTCCTGTATTACCATTTCAGCTGGATTCATGGAGTATTTCACTGGGCCATGCAATCCTATTACGTGGGAACATACACCCTCATGATGCATCAACATATCCACATGGGGGGGATTCTGTCACCCAAGTACTCATGGATTGATATGTTGTTCCCATATATTACAAACCCGTTAATGGGCCACACTTGGAATTCCTACTATTACCACCATGTCAAGCACCATCATGTCGAGTCCAACGGGCCCAATGATCTCTCGTCCACCATTCGCTATCAACGGGACGATCTAGGTGACTTCCTCTGCTACGTCGGCCGATTCATGTTCTTTGTCTGGCTAGAACTTCCGTTATATTTCTTCCGAAAGTCGAAAACACGATTGGCTATGAAAGCAGCATTTTGGGAGCTTGGAAGCTATCTTGCTATTTTTCTCATGTTTACCCTCAATTGGAAGACTACCTCGTTTGTCTTTGCTTTGCCCCTCTTACAGTTACGGGTGGGGCTGATGGTTGGAAATTGGGGCCAGCATGCCTTTGTGGATGAGATTGACCCTGACTCCGACTTTCGCTCCAGTATCACATTGATAGATGTTGCCGTGAGTTAGATTCCTGCCTATTTGTTCCCCTATGGAGAAGCAGTGCTGATAATGCTGTTTCACAGAGCAACCGTTTCTGTTACAATGACGGCTACCATACCTCTCACCATTTAAATCCTCTGAGACACTGGCGGGAACATCCCGTTGCCTTTCTCAGGCAGAAAGAGCGCTACTCTGAAGAGCACGCGCTTGTATTTCATAACATCGACTATATCATGATAACAGTCAAACTGCTGCAGAAGGACTATGCCCACCTGGCGAAATGTCTAATTCCCATTGGCGAGCAGGTAAATATGAGTTTCGATGAGATTGCTGCCATGCTCCGAACGAAAACACGTCGATTTAGCGAAGCAGATATTAAAAAGAAGTTCAAGGCGAACCACCAGCGAAATATGGGTTTGGAGGTAACTAACTATCCAACATAACTTTACGTGTATTTTAACTAGTTCAATTTTTGGCTCTGTTCGATTATTTGGATTTCGTAAAAAGTTACTATTTCAACATCTCAAACCTCTTCTGATAATTATCTGACTTTTAACTCATCTCTTTATGCAGTTGACATTCTTGCAGTGAATTGTGTTGTATCTCTTTCTCATAGTCAATCTTCACCCACAGGCTTTCAGTCCAGCAAGAGCAGTAGCTTGCGCCATCTTGACTAATAAGAGATCAGCAGAAGATCATGACAGAGAGTCTCTTCCCATAATAATACCGCATTAATATATCTTCCGGTATTGCTGTGTCGTTCTCGATTAGCGCTGGTACCCCTTGGGGATAACCTTTTAGACCCCAACTATCACCCAACTATCCGACCCGAAACCAACGCACAACTCCCGTTTCTGCCGGACATCGTATCCGTGGTGCAGATCTTAGGCTTCAGTTTGACCGTCGACCCCAGGATGTCTCTGAGATATTCTTGTTCCTGGTCGCATGATATACTCACGTTTCCGGGCGGTCCAACGCTACCCATCTCGTCGCGATATTTTCGGAGGAGCTCTGGATACCGTGTGCCACCCAGGCTATGCTGGACAGACTGGACCAACTATAGGAGATAGTTAACTATTCGTTGAGATGGCATTAATAGAGCACCATAAAAATTCCCCACTAGCCTTAAAACTTGAACCGCCAACTGTGGCTCCTCAAGTCCCTATTTTCCCGCTATCCCCTCCAAAAACCCAGTTCGTATCACCATTCGCCTCGGCTTCACCCACTCTCCCTGGACGCGGTGAAGTTGTCCTCTCCCTGCTGCCCCCGTCCATCCCAACCATCTCAACCCTCTCCTATAAATACCCCTTAAAGCTCCTGACAAGGACGCCTGCAACGACGCTCAATTCTAAATACCTGGAGTCTGCAACCAACCCCGTCCACCTGTATTTGCTCACGTACGGCGGAGGGTTGCTTCCCGGTGATCATATCGAAGTCTCAATTACCCAGAAGCCACGGACAAGGCTGGTAGTGACGACTCCGCAGGGAAGCACGAAGATATACAGGACAGAAGGACGCAAGGAAACACACAGAGCCAGGGAGGCCAAAGAACAAAGCAGCAGCTGCGATCAAACCCACTCCGCCTACAAGAGTAGGCAAATACTAGACGTGCAGCTAGGAAGCCATTCAGCTCTCTGCTATCTCCCGGAACCATCACAGCCGTTCGCAAATAGCCAATACGAGCAGACGCAGTATTTTACTCTTCTCCAGGACAGACAGGTGGAAGAAACTGCCAACCAAACAGATAAGAATAACTTCAACCAATCCCCAAGCCTCTGCGTGCTCGACTGGGTCAGCCAGGGCCGCGCAGCGAGGGGAGAAGACTGGTCCTTCCACTCCTGGAAGGGGAGGAACGAAATATGGTCCCAAGATCCAGCGAGCGGAGCACGCAAACTCCTCCTCCGCGACACGGTCATATTGGAAGACGAGACGAGGAATTACGCTGAGGAACCCAGCTGTTTAAATTCCTCCACAACAACAGTGTCATCTCCAAATCCTCACTCTCCTCCGATCGGCCTCTCGATACCGGCACGCACACATCCACATGGCATCTTGGGCACATTGATACTCCACGGACCCCTCTTCGTCTCCCTCTCCTCCTTCATAATGAAAGAGTTTACCTCCCAGCCTCGTATCGGCGGGCGGAATTGGGCTTCATCCGCAGCAACCTCCACGCCTGCTTCTGCCAATACCACGAAGGACTCCTCCGTATTGTGGACAGCCGCCCGCATAAGGTCGAATTTCGTGCTTGTGAAATTTGGTGCAAGAGACTTTGAGAGCGCAAAGGAGTGGTTGGGGGGGTTGATGAGGAGGGAAGGGAGTTTGGTGGATGAGTTTGGGACGGAGGCTTTGGGATGTTTGTAGTTATAAAACCTATTCATTCCACGCGCTTTGGTTTGAGATGAGTTTTCATTTCAGTGGCAGGCCACACAGTTTATACATACTCAGCAAGTAGTTGTTGCTTTTCCCCCGGTTCAGTCATGTGAAATTGGCTCAGGGCTTTGTTACGGTGTACCTGCCATTATGGCCGTGGTGATTAATATTCTTTTTAATATTGCCATCCGAACTCCTCAAGAGATAATTAGTTAGATTTCAAAGTTTTACCACAAGATTACATATGACTTTCCAATGCAGTTGCGTATATCAGATGTTAGAGCGAAGGAATGTGGGAAGTATGCGGCGGGAGACGTTGCACCGGGCAGAGCGTCGCATCAAAAAGTTTTCGAGTCGCATGATTAAAACTAAATTTAATTAATATTAACAAGATTATCTAAAAATTTTAATTTAATAGTAAGATGATTTATATACTTATTAAGAAGATTTTTCAGAGTGTAGTTCTTTCATTAAGTTCTTTCATAATTATATCAGTTTCTTTTATTATTCAATACTCTGAGTCATATATTTCAGCTACTTCCATAATTCAGTTATCATCTCAGTCTTTAAAGATAGATTTTAATAATATGCTACTCTATCTAATAAACATATCTTCTTAATCGTATTCAAATATAGAAACATATGGCAATTTTAGATTAGTTAGCAGATGTTCCACGGATATAGAAGCACATAACCAATTCACCCCCTGCCTGGACAGCTTCCAATGAATCAGGTAGGTGGACAATTAGTTGACTGCTCCGTACACGATTCCACAATTAACCAAGCGCTTTTGCAGAAATGTGGGTAGTCAACTGAGTTGAATGGCGTACAGGTCTCCGTACGAATGAGAATTTGGTGTTGCACTCGCTTGGGAGTTATGTTAGTAACTCGTAACTATAATATGGGTATGTATCATAATTACCAAAAATACAACCCCCCGGCTTACTTCTTGATTTTCATTTTTTCTTTTTAATTTTTTTTTTCTTTTTTTTTTTTTTTTTTTGGATATCAGAACCTCCATTCGAAGCTATATCAATTGCAAAAAGAAGTGATAGCTGCCCACAATGCCTCACAAGCACAAACGACGGCAAAGAGATGATGAGTATGAAACCCTCAACCGTACGAACCTAGGTAATAATCTCCATTCTAACCAATGTCTTCTCCTCTACAGCGACAACTTCGACCTTCCCCCGACAAAGATCGCAAAGCCCCTCCCGGCAAATATCAGTAATGGAGGCTCCAAAGAAACCTCAAACAAACGGCACCAATCGAAAAAGTCCGTCCAGAACTCCTTCATAGATGATACCCCGAAAGCATTTATGCGCATGATGCAGCAGTTTCAAAAAGCCACATCTTCAAGCGCCCGGCGCACTCCATCCTGGCAAGAAGATGGCGGGACGAAGTCTAATAGGAAACGTAAAAGGGGAGAACGTGAAGTTGGCACACTGATCGCAAATGGAGAAGCATCGACATCGAGATGGGCAGACTCTAAGAATTATAATAGTAGCGGCAAATCCAATGGAGAATTCCAGCAGAAGAAGGATACAACGACATCTTCGCAATCGCAACCTGCTTCCTCCTCTTATTCTATTCCTAAAATCCTCCCCGGTGAGCGCATGTCCGATTTCGCTGCACGTGTCGACCAAGCTCTACCCCTGTCCGGCATCTCGAAGAAATCGGGCACGTCAAGTATAAGCAAGGATCCTGCGCTGAAGAACCTGCGAGAACAAAGACAGACAAAACATGAGCGGAGACTTCTTCGTCTACAGCGGGAATGGAGAGCCGAAGAAGCGCGGATTAGGGAGCGGGAAGAGGCTGAGCGCGAGGAAAGGGAGGCGCAGCAGGAAGAGGTCAATGAGCAGTGGAAGGCGTGGGAGGAGGAGGCGGGCTTGACGAAAAAGAAAAAGAAGGCTGCAGCGAAGACTAGGAAAAATAAGAGGAATAATAAATGGAAAGGGAAAGCTGGTCTGTTGGATGGGAATGCAAGTGGTTGCGACACCGAGGGCAACGACAACGAAGGAGACGACGACGACGATGACGATCCATGGGCTAAGCTTAATCGAAAAGCGAAGGCTATGCAGCCTGTTAATCCGTTTGAGGTTGTCCAGGCGCCTCCTGCACAGTTGACGAAGCCGAAGGAGAAGTTCAAGATGAGAGGCGTGGGTCGTGCGGTGGTCAATGTTGCCAACGTTCCGGCGGCAGCGGGGAGTTTGCGGGCCAGAGAGGAGCTTGCGGAACACAGGCAAAGTATTGTGGATGAGTATAGGAAAATGATGGCAACCAAGAGGGGGTAACGAGATACTATATATAAAAGATATTCGCAATTGAGGAATGATGGACCATTGTCTATTAGCCCTCGTTCAAAACGGGGAACTTTTATTAGATGATAGGTTTGTGTAAGTCTACTTAAGAATACACAATAGTTCAGTAGACTCTCTCATTGAGATATACTGAGCATTGCGCCCAACGAAAGATTGTGTTCTCTGGGTATATGACACTTGGATAACCCCTAGAACAACCCATATAAAATAAACAAAATGTGTGAATTAACTCTTCTTTTAAGAGCTGCAAGCACAGGAACTCTTTACTATGCCAAAACAATCTATCTTCACTAACACCACCCCTCCCCCCCTCTCCAAAGCAGAAATAAAATAAAAAATAAAAAAAAAAATAAACCATAATCTACCCCCCCTTAATATCCCTCACATACGCTGCAGCCCGCGCCTTAACCTCATCCACCATTTTCTCATTCCCGCCACCAACCTTCTCCTCAAACGCCAGCCACTTCTTAAAAAAGAATTTGGCTTGTTTATCCTTCAACTTCTTGGGCCCAGTTTCGGTCCCATCCGCAGCAATGCCATGCCCCAGGCCCAAAACTCTTTCGAACAGCCTTCTAACCTGCTCCGCGTCACCATTCCTAATCTCCAGATCAAGCAGCACATTCCAAAGATCAACACGCTTGGGAAACGAGGAGAGAAGAGCTTCGAATACCGTTCGGCCACGTTCAATGTCTCCATTTGGAGATCGGAATTCCAGCTGGCCGAATTTGGATGTGATGTCGACGTGGGTGTGGGCTGGGAGTGATTGGATAGCACGCGGGAGAAGTGCGCGTCCTCGTTGGGGGTCAGACAGTGTGTCGAAGAGGAAGGTGGCATAGTTGATGTAGATATTTGGCGATTGGGTGAATTTTTTCTTGAGGGTTGTTTGGAAGAGCTCGTCGGCTTTCTGCAGAGGTAATTCGTCAGTCAACTTTCCTATTAATAGAATAAAAATGGTGCCTCCTGTTGGAAAATGATCGTACATACCTCATTCTTCCCGGACTGGATGTATATACTAGTCATCCGCTCATGGATCTCTTGAGGGTCATTGTACTGACAAGCGCGCTTGAAAACATCCTCAAGAGAGTCGTCATTTCCAAAGATATTCTCTAGGTTGAGCATTGCGATCCAGATATTGAATTTTTCAGCATCTTGGCCGATCCTTATTGATCGAAGAGCTCGTTCCGCAATCTCACGAGCCTTATCCACCTCACTAAGTTCAAGTTGGAAGGCCATGTATTTCAGCCAGAGCAAACTCGAATCGGGTTCGCCTAGCAATAAACGCTCGTAGTCGGCTATAGATTGCGGACCGTGAGCGTCAAGATCACCAGTTCTATCAACCTGGATCTCAGGTTTCCGGCGTTTCTTCTTCTTCGGAACCGCTTGGCCATCGGAGCTGGAACAGGAATCATTGGCCTCATCAACGACGGTAGTTCCACTCCCATTCCAGTCAAACCCAGATGTTACCAAGCCTCCAGTTACACCTGTATCTTCGGTCCCTGCCATCTGCACATCCTCGTCGCTGACATTACTCTCGCTACCGTCACCACCACCCAAGTCGACTCCACCCATTGAAACGTCATCATCGGATTCTAATTCAAGCTCAATTTCACCATCATCCTCGCTTTCACTATCACTTTGTTCATTCCCATATTCGCTGTTTTCACCATCCGATTTGTCATCGCTTTCTTTGAAATAAGAGGCCTTCAGCCCCAAAGATATTCGTTCCTTGTCGTGGTCGATCTTGACAATTTTAGCCTTGACTATGTCACCCTTCTCAAAGAGCTTTCGAGCATCTTCCACTTTTTGCTCCGCCATCTCCGTGCGATGGCAGAGTCCACTAAGATTAGCGGTTCCATCGATCACAATGAAAGCTCCAAATTCTTCGACGCTGCGGACTCTTCCGGTTACAATCTGTCCGCGATTTAAGTCCCTGATCGTGATGGGCGCCTTATAGTTCGGTTCAAGAACCGACTCCTTCAAACTCATCTGGAGTTTATTGGCTTCAGCATCCACAAAAATTATTCTTCCACGAACGAGTTGGTCGACTTGGAACTCAGGCTGCCACTCTTTTAGATAAGAATCTGAAAGATCCGATATTCGGACATAGGCTGTAACTTCGTGACCTAGAGTAACAAAAAGGCCATTATTTGCAACTCTGCGGACAAATCCACGAACAATGTCATTAACCTTAAGTTGGCTAATCGATTTTATTTCCGGATCTTCAATGGGTAACGATGAGCTAAGGACCCTGGAAGGTCGAACAGAAAGCAGAATCTTCTTGTTAGGGACGTCAACGTCCAAAATACAAACACGAAGAACCTCGTTTTTGTGAAAATTAGCCGGAATCACTTTCGTATAGTCATCGGCCATGTCTATCAAATTGATAGCACCAACTGTTGTGTCGCTTAGCTGCACAAGGACCTGGCGTTCACTGACTTTAGTAACTCGTCCAAGTAAAATTTCACCCTTCGAGAAATCCGATATTGTCCTCTTGTTGGGAGGGTCTCCATGTTTTGCAGAAAGGTCAAGCCGATTCTTATCCACATTAACGCCTGTAACATGGACCTTAATTGCGGACCCAACAGGGAAATTTTTCGTTACATCCCCCACAAGTGACAAGTCGTCTGAAACGTCGGTGATTCGAAGCCTTCCACGCACATTCGGGGAGATATTTACCCATAGACAATCGTCACCGATATTATTGATGAACCCTAGCCATGAAGATCCAATTTCGACTTTATCAAGGCTTAGAAGTTCAATGTCATTTGATTCTAGGGAGCTGGGTTTTGCTGAAAGCTCGTAAACAGGGTATTTCCCACTGCGATGGCTGATAGGCAAAAATTTGTGACTGCGAGCATCGTGGATGCCAACGATTCGAACAGGAATTATCTGTTTGGGCTTAAAATACCGCAATGGCTGTTTACGGTCTTTGATAGCGTCCCATTCATCAAATATTTCTGATACATCGATACGGCCTTGAATATTGTCGGCAAGCTGCACATTTATCTGAGTTTCTTTAACAGAAACGATCTTGGCCTTGGTAATTCTGCCAAAAGTCAGGTCGTCAAAAGATTTGATATCCCCATCAACAGGGTTGATGGATGACTGATTGGCATTGCTGGCGGGACGTGCATTATCAGACACATGTTGCTTGCTAGTTTGGTTTTCCTTCAACGATAAAATGAATCTTTGGCGGTCGTCTTCGATAGAATGTACAAATGAGGAGATTGTTTGAGATAGGGTATATCCGAAATTGGGTTTTGCGACATGGTCATCGTCCATGAGCCGCTTTGGAAGAAATCCAGTGAGCCCTCTCAGGAATTCCACAAACAAGCCATCTGCGATAATGTTCTTTACAAACCCGGTGACCTTCAATCCTTCCTGAAGATCTTCAAATTTGGCAGGTAATTCACCTCGTTGACGGGCTTGCTTGAGGCTAGGCTTATTAGAAACCTTGATAAGCCTGTGAACCTTCTGCATACTGAGAATTACAAGGTCGTGGAGTTTCTGGCCGACCCTGATGCAAGCAAGTGCACTCCCATTTTTAGAAGATTGCCCATCGGTGACATGTTCTGCATTTAACCTCGCGACCAACCCAGAACCTTCCAGTCTCAGGAGTATATCTTCCTTTGATTTTTCAAAGACGGTGCAAGAAACAAGATCTCCAGGTTGGATATTCTCAAACGCATTTTTGTAAGTTTCTGTGGATGTCGACGGGTCCTTGCAGGAGACTACCAACTTTCTCAACTCTGCGTGAACAGTCAGTGCATGCACATTCACAACTTGCCCGACGATGAAATGCTGAGATGGGTCTTTGATGTATGCTTCGCTCATTTCTGAGACCGGGAGAAAACCGCGGACTTCCCCATAAAACTGAACAATTGCCCCATGAGGATGGATGCTGATAATTGTTCCCGGTGATTGATTCCCTGGAAGAATGTCGCCATACTCTTTCCAAGCTGGAGATTCGCTATTCAGCAATGACTTTTTCAAAGTAAGTCGCAGCTGGCGTTTCTCCAGATTGACGGAAAGGATCCTAGCAGAAACCTGTGCTCCTTCGCGAAACTTCCTTTCTGGGTGCTGTAATTTAGTATCCGACAGGTGCATTCTGGGAACCAAACCAGAAATACCATCTGCAAGAGAAACAATAAGACCATCAATACCATCAGGCCCAGTTAACAGTTTCTCAATCTTTCCTTTGACAACGGCGCCGACTGCCACATCTTCAAGACGAAGGAAAGGCTGGTCAATTACTTTCCTTTCGAAGGATAGAAGGTATAGATTGTCCAAAGCACTGAAACCAACTATTCTTGCCTCGTGCGTAGAGTCAACTTTGTAGGGCCCTTTAGTCGCAGATATACTGTCGACCTTGTCATCCGAGAGTCTGGAAATATGGACAAAACCATAGAGCTTGTTGTTAAATTGGACGTAGACACCCAAGCCGGGTTCAACTTTAGTGACTTTTGCTTCAGGTACGATGGCGGATACGGCCGGGATATCCTCAGAGGTGGAATATTGGTCAAGAACAGTTGGAGAAAACTTGACAACGTGCTCGAGAATGGAAAACCCGAGTTTCAAAGGTTCGACAGTGGGAAATGTGCAGATGAGTCGCCCTTTAATCTTTGCACCAACGTGATATTTGGTGGTGAGATCTTCTGTTCCAGTAGTCGAACCGGACTGAACTAGGTCAACGACTGCGTCTAGCATTCCCATGATCTTGCCTGCCATACCCGTCGACGTTACTTCATTTAAAAGAATCTCTGCGGCGGTTCCGGGGAGGAAGGAATTAATAGTTGGTGCGGAAGTTAAATAGTGTGATTTTTTGATGGAGCCAGCAGCTGGGAGATTTGCAGATAGCTTCACGACGCTGCCATTCGCATTGTGTCCGGTAACCACACAGAGAAAAACCGAGCCTTCCTTTATCTGAGAAACCTCAAGATCGGGGGGGATTTCCTTCGAAGACATGAACCCTTTCGTTTGGCCGTCATCCAAGCCCAGGTCCATCACCAGACCATGATCCTCCACACTCACCACAGACGCCTGCACAGTGGTATTGACAACCATATCAGATTTAGAAAGTCCAGAATTGGCATCTCGAGGATCCACTGAAAGTTGGATGTGCTTTTTTCCCTTGGTTTGAGGATTTTTCGTCTCGCTCTCTGTCGCGGTAACGGACGCTCGAAGGTACTGGCCAAGCTTAAAATACGATTTCAAGTCCAAATCCTCCTCGTCGTCACTGCCACCATCGTCAGATCCTTCATTCTCATCTTCGTTGCTGTTTAGGAGCTTCTCGATTTTCTGCTGGAATGTTTTTGAGATTGAAGTGAGCGGAACGTAGCCAGTTAAATTATTTGGCAGCGACAGGCCAATGTCATGGGCATTGATGCTAGAGACTTGGCCAAGGACCTTGGAGCCTATAACAATGCGCTTCGGGGAAGACAAAAATATTAGTGGAGGTGATTCAATTGAGATTCATTCCTTCAAAGCAATGACTACGGGCAACATACCTTGAAGTTGAGTCCTTCGATGCGCACAGCTTGCTTTGTGGGATCTTCAGAAGCTGCTTGTTTCTTGGCCTTGGACTTCACTTTCTTGAACTTAACCCCAGATGCTTTACCAGATTTCTTGTGCCCTCCGTCCGCTTCATCCATATTATCATCTTGTTCTCCAGCGGCTCCGTTCTGCTCGAAAAGAACATCGCGAGTTGCCTGAATCTGGATTTGTTTTCGCTCGAGAGGGGTTAAAATGTTCCCCCCACCACGAGGGAACACAGGTTCCTCCTCTCGCAAAACTGAAACTGCCGGAGCCTTGGAAGGTAGATCCGGAGAATCCCTTGAATCCTCCGGCTGAGACTTTTTCCCTCCCTTTGCACCCTTGCGCTGCCCACCATCTGTGACCTTCACTCTTTTCTGTGGCTGTCGAGAGTCTGGCTCTTCGGGGCCATTGCCCTTTCTCTTGAGGGGAGCCATGGCTCATCACAGAATCTGGCAGGGCAATTGACTGTCCACAGCTCTGTTGTTGTTGTTGTTGTTGTTGTTGTTGTTGTTGTTGTTGTTGTTGTTGTCTCTATCACAAGCCCCCGTCTTTTACAAAGCGCGGATGTGCTAAAAAATCGAAAATTCTCCTTTAGGCATAGCGCGGGCCGGGCTTCAAGCAAGCACCGACAGGAGGGACCAAACCCTTTTGGATCTAGCGCAGTTCCCCACCGTTAGCATTTCCCAGGAATGCATCTAATGCACGGGCCACTCTGACTAATCTCTCGCGTTCTTGACACCCCCGGTGAACGCGCATGCCTTTGGTTAGGTAATTTTCGCGGGGGCTCCGCTCGGCACGTGTGTGATTTCCCCAGGGCGTTGGGTGTTGGTGTCGCGACGACGTGCCTGGGATAGAGCCTCAATATCAAATGGCTCTCTCTCTTGGTCTTCTTGATAACCTTCACTGCGCCATCTCCTCTCACTTGCAATTCACCATTCTCTTCCGTGCATTAGAATTTAGAGTTAACTAGCTGTCTTCTCTAATAGCACCTAGCTATGGACTGCGCTCTTGGGTCCTCCCTGCTCCTCCCCTTCGGATATATGTCATGTCGGATCTCCCCCCAAGGATCTCAAGATACTATACCATCCTCTCCTCCCAGGTTCAATGCTCCAGCAATACCCTCATCTCCTCCTCGAACCAAAACAAAGAAGCCTCCTTCAGTTACCCCCAGATCTTTCAAGCGGTTTTTCACCCCGCGCTCTGTTCTGGGTGCCCTTGCAAGCGGAGGGAACGATCGTGCCAGTCGGCATGCATTTAAAGATGCCCACTTCCCAACATTGAATCGGCTTGGGCCATCCTTCGCAGGGATAGCAGATGGACCCCGTGATGGCTCAGGTAAATCGCCAACGCACGGAAGAGCCTCTACCCCGCTCAGGAAACGGAAGTTGTCGTTTTCCTCAAGCCCGCCTCTTCAATTGTCTCCAATTAGGAGAGTACGTATTGCACGGGGTGTTCTTCATAGTGATATGGACTCAAGTCCAAGTAGGCCGAAGCCTGATAGCATTGACTTCGAATCTGTGCCGCGATTGGACATGCAAAAACGCAAGCAACATATCCCTCCGCCTCCACCTCTACCTTTACGCCGTTCTAATGTGCTTCAAACGTCCGGTCAATTCTTTGTACGCAGCCTTTCTGAAAAAAGATCAGGCAAGCTGACATTACGCTACAACTACAGTACAAGTATGTCGTAGATCCTTCAGTTAATATTTTCCCTTGAACTAATGGACCTATTTGAAACAGCCTGGCGGGACGAAGTTTCCAACTTCTATAGCTTTCCTGATGACGTTCATGAATGCTCGTATAGAGATCAGCAGGGAGAACGTCTCACTCTCCCATTTTGCACTGTTGCTTGTCATAGTGAGTAATCTCCCGCTCTATCCCCTGTTAATTTGCAATCCATTTCTAAAATCTTCGATTACAGCCAATTCTCTAGTAGCGATTGGAGACGAAGAAGGAGGTATCCGACTACTGGATTCCGCTAAAGACGACCAAGCCGGTTTCTCGAAGGCGTTTCTCTCATTTCAGCCGCATACGAACTCCATTATGGATCTAGATTTTTCCTCGGATGATACGCTTTTAGCCACTGCATCTGGTGATCAAACAGCCCGGATTATTGATATGCCCACTCAAACTTCGATCTTCTGTCTATCCAAACATACATCATCTGTCAAACGGGTACAATTTCAGCCTGCTTCTAATAATAATATAGTCGCAACCTGCAGCCGCGATGGCAGCGTTAATATTTGGGATCTGCGATACAAAGCCTTTGACAGGCCCGTGGTGCAACTGCGCTGTTCCCTTGCATCAGATGAGGATGACTCTACAAAGCTAACTACAACTAAAATGAAATACGCCCAAGTAGCTAATAATATCTGGTCAGCACATGCGGAAAAACCCCGCCCCAAAACAGGCCAAGAGACTGAGGCCTTGGCACGCCGAGATGATATATCAGTCACGTCCATCGCATTTCTCAACCCTGGCCGTGAAAACCTCTTTGTCACGAGCAGTGAGTCAAATGCCTGTGTGAGGCTGTGGGACATGCGAACTACATACTCCTTACGGCGTAAAACACCCATCCCCCTGGCCATAACCAGACAGCCAGACAGCCACGAGAAATACCGCCAATTCGGGCTGACATCCATGGCTTTCAGCGGCGACGGGAGCAGACTCTACACCCTCTGCCGTGACGGTAGCATCTACGCATACTCAACATCCCACCTGACTCTATCAAGTTGTCCAGAAATGATTCGATGCAGCACAAGCTTCAAACGCTTTCCAAGCGACGAAGCCAAACCAGGTCTAGGCCCCTTGTATGGCTTCCGCCATCCACGTCTCCAAGTCTCAACGTTTTTTGTCAAACTCGCCGTTCGCCAGCCTGTCAACGACAAGAGCGAAATGCTCGCCGTCGGCAGCAGTGATAACTGCGCTGTTGTCTTTCCAACTGACGAGCGTTACCTCACCCCACCCTCTTCCACGCCAGCTCCCCATACAGTACTCAATCAAGGAAGGACGCCACGCCGTGCCGGCCTTCGCAAACCCCAGTCCAGTAATGTAGGATTGTCAGGGCGTTTGGAAGATTCCATCCCGATATATCAGCACGGCGCAGCGTTGGTCGAGGGGCATAAGAAAGAGGTATCGGGTGTTTCGTGGACGAATGTTGGGGAACTTATCACCGTCAGTGACGATTTGCATGCTCGATGTTGGAGGGAGGGGCCCGAGGCGCGGGACTTGAGGGTTGGAGGGAACATGGACGGTAGGAGGTGGCAGTGTGGGTGGGCTGATGTGAAGGATTCTGCTGATGATGATGAGGAAGATTAAAGAGAAATATCGAAGAACGAATTCTTGCCTATATCCTCTTCTCTGCTTCTGCATGATGGACTAGGTTGCTTGGTGGATTCTTAATTTTTTTTTTTTTTTTTTTTTCCTTTCATTTTAACTCGTTTCAATGGGCATCCAGCAGATGGCATTTGCGGGGACCCCTTTTGTGTCACTCCCTTTGGAACATTTCTCATTCATACTTATTTAAATGAAAAAGTGTAAGAGCTAGCGTACATTTACTATTTCTTATATACCAATAATGACTTGGTTATTTTCAGTAATAACAAGTTGCCCTTACATCATTGTTATTCGGAGGTTCACGGAGCCCTTGAAGAACCAAGATATTCAGTTACGTAGATTTATTTATATATGG